AAAAATGATATGTGTTGGGGTATAATTCAGGAGCGACGAAGTGAACGTGAGTACAATAGGTCACGCTCGGGTAACGTACTCGATAAGTAAACATACATTTATTGATACATTTTCTTTTTTGTTGGCCATTTAATGACATTAGTAATACATTTTTTAAATAAATAAGCAGAATTGGTAATATAATAGTAAACAACTGTACAATAATAAATAACGTCACTAAATAAATATAATAGGTATCCACTTATACAGCTTATACATTATAGTTCTTTTGTTATTTTTTTTTTTATACAAATATTAAGTTACACTAAAGTTATTACTTATTGTATTATAATAGTTGTAGTTTTGAAAAGACCTAACTGCTGTTTGTCTATCTGCAATAAGCTTATCATCGCACAGAGCCTAGTATTTTACAAAAAGACAAATTTTCCATAAGGCCTACGACATACGTATACATGTCAAAATAAGATTTTAAATTCAGAGAGGAGCAATGAACATATTAGTTTAACTATTATCATGTATGTTTAAAAAAAAAAATAAGCTAGTGTTCTTAAAAATTTAACATTATCTTTTTGAACCAGTAAAAAAGCTTCAATCTTGATTTCTGGTACCAATAGATTAATTACAGTTATTACTTTGGTGAGTAGGCGGCCAAATAAAATCAATTTTATCATATTATTATACATGATTCAAAATTAGTAAACGTGCAATTTTCATAAAAAGTTGGTCCATACCTATAAGTATATTCTAATAGCTTAATACAGTTTTCAAAAATATTTTAGGTTCTTTTAAATTATTTTTCAATATGTGACGTTTTAATTTTTTTTTTAAATTTATGATTAAATTTATTTTGGTCGGTAAAAAGTCAAAAACCTAAAAATTGAGTAAAAATGTTTATCTTAAATTATTTTAAAGCAATAAAAACATATTGAAAATATATGATCACAATTTTTAACATTTTAACAAAATTCATATGAGTTATAAAACTTTACTAATTTAATAGTTTACAGTTAGAATTTATATGATTTTGATTTTATCATTTATAATATACTTAGAAAGAGATCCTTAAAAAATAAATGTAGCGTAAGATCACGTTAATTTTTATGAGTATTTTAAGTTCAAATTATGACAAAGTCGGATATTTAAACGATAAATATAATAACTTTTCTCAAATAAATTTAGTTATTTTTTATTTTTCAAAACATATTAATCCTAGGGAGTATATACTTTAAAACTTACGATATTATTTATAATAATTACGTTTAAAATTTTTTCAAAATATTTTAACTAATTATAAGAATAAAAACTATGAATAAACATAAATGATTTGTATGTAAATATTGATTTGCTAGTTAATTTGCAAAAAATATGTAAAATAACATTATATTAATAATTATTGTGCTCATATTAAATAAACACGAAATAAATACGCTTCTTACAACGGCCTTAATGTTTTTAACGGAATTTTGTTTAACCTACTATGTATATAAATATTTATTCGGTAAACTTGATGTAAAACCATTAGTTTAAACAATTGAAAAATATTTAACATAACATAATAATTATTATACATTACAATTTAAAGCAATAAAGTAATAATTACAGTAAATAGAAAGTACTAATAATAGACATAATATTTTTTCATGAATATAATAACACTTTTATGAAGAAAATTACATAAACCGAAGTGGTTAATGTTTGACAAAAACCATAGTAATATCTAGTACTGAATTAATAGTTGTACAATAACTAGAGAGTATATAGTTATATTAGCTTAAATATATTTATTTAATACGAACGTAAATAATTTCATTAGCAAATTAATAATGCTTTTAAATTCGTTGATAAATATCATGCTGATAATATTATCATTTAAGGCTTTTTGTAGTCAGTAGGCTGCAATATTGGCATATATATGTTTATAGGTGGAACTGCAAGGGTTTTTAGATTGAGAGAGATCAACTAGTCTTGGGATTGAGAGAAGACGTTTTATCTTTTTTGGATTTTTGAATGTTGCAGCTAGCTTTTTATAAGTAGTACAATTTTTATAGGATGCTGTGGATGTCTTTGGTCAAAGAGCACATTTGGTTGGGAGATTATGATCTTTTGAGCACTTATCCAACAAATGATTTTCATCACGTTTAATGCAACGAAGTTTACAACAATAAAATATCTCGTATGACCTAGCAAACGGCAATAGTGATATTGAGGTGGACAACGATTTGTTTTGAATGAGTTTTGAATAGATACGGAAGTATGCAGAGACATTAAAAATATATGAATTATTATTTTTGGTATTTAGTTCCAAAAAAAAATAATAGCATGTTATATGGATTTTTATTAATATTATTTTATAATAATTTCTAAATTTTGAAATTTTTTTTTGGTGAAATAAACTCAACTAATTTAATCTTATTTTTAAAAATAAAAATAATATACCTTAATCAATATAGTTTGATTGAACTTGTATGTGTATTCTGTTTTTTCGGGCCTTGCCAGAAAAAAACTTAGTCATGCCACATTTTTTTTATAATTAATTTTTTAAGAGAGGATTTGATACCGACTGTTTCTATCTTTGTCTAACACATACAAAACATGACCATTTTGACGTGTTTTTTACTAAACTAACCGATTGATCTAGTGAAGCAGTAATAAATCTGAAAACAAATTTGAATTTTTAGTTATAAGTTTATTTGATGTTAACTTTTAATTCATAATTATTATGTAATACAAATTATATGGTAAAACAATGAAAAAAAGAAATGTAATATGAGAACATAATCTTTGCTTTGTTTATAAAAACTTATAACTTATATTATTTTAATTTTGTATCTACCTTAGATGATATAATAATAATAATAATAATTTAATAACAATAAATAAATTATTTTTGTATAGTATTATGATGACAGTGACTACATCGTTTTTTAATGTATTTTATAAGTCCATTGCCTGTCACCCAAGTGTCACGATGAACTAGACTGAAATTTAGGTGTCTAGTCTGAACCTATTAGGTATTTAGATATGATAGTTTATAACGTGACTAGTGTAAGTACATTTATACGTAATTTACACTTACGCCAATTCTACAGATTTAATATATATATTATATGTGTTTATTTTTTATAAGCCTACTGATGTGAATAACTATATAATTAATACATTATTATTTATTATATACCTATTATATTATACTGTTGGGTATTTTTATAATTTATGGGTTGTTAAATTTCGGATAAAGAAGTATTTAAAATGAGAAAGTTAGTTCGATAAACAAAAAGGCGAGTTCAAAAATATTTTAATACTTTTTCAGTCGTTTTATCAAAAACTTTTAACGTTTAGAATTTATATAGTTAGTTAATTAAAAACTTATTCAAAAAGTAGCCATGTATTATGTAGTTTATCGTTTTTTATAACATTATTCTACAATTTAAAATTTTAACCGACTTTATATAATACGATTTAATTTATTAAATCATGTAGTTTTAAAAATTGATAATAAACATGTTTTGAAAATATAAGATTTTAGTAAACTAATGGTTTTAAGAAGAAACTAATTTAAAAAAATTAACACTGACAAATTGAACGCGGTATTTTTAGAAATGATAAAATCTGTAGATCTACTTATTGTGTTTTTTATTTATTCTTGTGGTATTAATTTAATGTAGGAACTTCAAACTTTTTAGGATAATTATTATTCAATAGCTTGAACAGTTTTAATTTATTAAGTACATAATTATTTTTATCACCACGTGCATGTATCAAATCGTGTAATTTATTATTATTATAAATTGTTCAACATAAATATTAAATACTACACTACACACAATATACAACACGCTTATATAGTCATATACACATATACGGCTATATACATGTATAAAATATAAATGTACATTATATATATTGCCGTCATGCGCACACACTATATTTTAGTATACAGCTATTGCTCTTTTCCCTAACCTCTACCACCCTCTTTTTGCCCATTTACTGTCGTTTATCGGTTTTCCCCTTCCATACTCTTTTTCATAGCGTCAAAAACAGCAGCGTAATCTTCTATCCCCATATTCCTCAGTTTTCTATTCTAAATCTCTATTCTAATATGCAATCCCATCGTATTTTTTATTTTATTTTTTTTTTTTTTTGTCATGTACGGTCTTTTCGCTGCCAGCCAGCAGTCGAGCTGACATTCGAGAAAAGCCGAAGGGCAATGTACGACAGAACGTTGATTCAATATTTTTCAACCAAATAGAGTATAATAATATTTATGTCAAAAAAATATTTTTCTCGTTTTGTTTTATAAAAATTCATAGTATACACACTTTCTATTGGGACAAAAACAAATCACTATATTTTATAATGTAGGTTGTAAATTATGGATAAAATTTATTCTTTTGGAGTTTATGAGGAGCTCGCGTACATTCAAGCTACACGTATATTTTCTTATTTGTTTAATGTTAGTTTTGATTGGTTTAAAACATAATATATCTATATAATATTATATTTTTTCCATTTATATAAATTATGTATAAATATATTACATATTATACTTATATGTACAAATAAAATTATAATTTACAATATGATTGTTAGTTCAAGTTTTTGTTTTTGTAAGATGTATTATACCTATAATAAATACATAAACTATACAATGAAGTGATTTTTTTTTTTACCCCAAATACTTAAATCGATTAGGTACCTTATATTTACACTCGGTGGTATTATCTCATTATTATTATTAAAGGCCGTCATTTTTTCTCTTGCTATTATCGTCATTCGTTTTCCACTGTGGGACGTGGGGTAGCTAACTGCAGCTTGGCGGAGGTAACCTGGGCGTGACGCCTGCTCTCTCGAGGCACGCCCATAGGAGCAATAGCAGCAATGGCCGACCATACTCGACAATTATCGTCAGTACAGCATCCCTCATCTCACTCTACCCGTTGGCATCCACTTCATCCCCTTCTATTGCTTAAAGGGGATGCAGGAGTAAGTTGACTGAGAGGAAAAACAATGATGGTGGTGGCCAAAAACATTAAGGCCGAGAGAAGACCACCGCCGTTTACCGCCAGTGTCATAATCAGTGCGAAATCAGCCGCCGTTGTTGTATTATCATATATATAATATTTTAACATTATTGATAATAACAAGAAAAATAATTTTAATAATAATAATACTAATAATAATAGAGTTGTTGTGTGTATAATTATGTATTATAGAGTTTACTGTTAGTAGCTGTGCAGTTAATAGTTTTCCAGTGTGGTGAATAAATGTGTATCATGCAATTAAGGATAATGTTGGATGTTCCTTATGCACCAGAAGAATAAAATAAAAAGGTTTTTTATTTATTATTATTTATTTTTTATTATCTTACAATGGTATATATTAGCCACCGTTATATAATATATATATATAAATATATATTATTTTATATTATATTGTGAAATACGTGTGAAAATGTTGCGAAACAAAAGTATTGGCACGCGATTCTTACGGTGGTAACAGCATCTTTGATCATCAAATAGTCTTACCTTCGATGTATATTCATTACTAAAATAAATTTAAAATCATTTTCTATATAGATATATTTATTGGTATTTCATACATTTGGTTTTTATAAAACTAATTTAATGGAGAATACTACTTCTACCGCATTTACAATTGATAATCAATCGCCAAATAAAAATAACGAATTGAAAAATGGGGATAATATCGAAGATTGTCAACAACAGCATCAAAGACGGCAACGGAATACCGGAAATGGCCGGTGGTGTACCAGCAGCGTTCGATCACGGTCCTCTACATCATTTCTCATACACAATTTACTTATATCTTGTTCGGGTGATGCTAGTGACGTGCAAGCAAATATATCTCCTCCATCACTCCCGCTGGTTGAACAAGATAATGACAATGACGACACTAGTAATAATAGTAGCAGCAGTGAAAGCAAAAGTAGAAGTTGTAGTCCACAAGAGATACAACTATCATCCCCCGTAATGGACGTTAAAGAAGAAAAAGAAGACGTTAACGGAATGTTCGATGCAGAACACTATAGAATTAAGAGACGAAAATGCACAATTCCTTTTAGAAGAAGAACAGCTAAGAAAAAAGAAAGCATCAGTACTAATGTTAGCGGTGATAGTGATGATGAAAAAGAAGAAAGTAAGACAATAATATTTTAAAATTTTATAAAGATAGTTATGCGATTAACACCATAATTTGTTTATTTATGAATGAGTATAAAAATTAACAGATTTAAGTATATTATAATCATACTCGAGAAAATTTTTATTTATTAATATGTAAGTACCAATTTAATTAATTAGTTTAAAATAACAAAAAAAAAAAAAAAAATTGTTTCGTATTGTTGAATTGGGCGCAACTGTACAAGTAAGCTCATAATATTAATTATGTTTTAAAGATTCATTTAATTTCTATAAAACAATAATAGGATTTAAAAAAAAAAAAAATTAAACCATATACACCCAATTGTTATTTATTTACTATCTATTTTTGATAGGTATTTTCATAATTTAAAGCATGGATTGTGATTTGCAAATCATGTACGTTGTTGTTTGATACATGTGAAAGCTATAAATCATTATTTAATTTTAAAACATATAATATTAATTTAATATTTTATTTTATATAGAAATTAACAATATATTAAGTTAACCGTATATACCTATTTAGAAAACAATAAAATCAGATTATCTGGCAGATATACGCATTATTATAGTTATTATTTATTACTTATTGCTTTTAGTAGTACCTATAGGTATTTTGTAACTATTTTTTCCAACATATATTTTTAAATTTAGTAATAACTGAACATATACCTTCAAGAAATAATGAAAATATTACATTATTTTTAATTATAATTAGGTAGTTTTGTTATAAAAAATAATTTTTACTAAATATATTTAAATACCCATGTATAATTTTCGTAATGGTAGTTACTTATTTCCATGATGTACCTTTAAATCTTCAAACCTTTTATTGTTTGTTTATTTTTTATCATCAACACATGTATTACTAAATTTATTAATTTATTGACATTAATGTTAACAGCTGATAAAGAATCGGCATCACTAAAAGTTTCAGAAGAAGATTCACAAATGCAGTCAATGCAATCCCAACCACCACCTATTTCGATATACCTATCAACAACTATGAATCATCAACATCAACTATCTGCCCAACAAACATCAACTCAAACACCTACTCTAACGTCAACCACGCCGGTATCGTCGTTAAACTTCAGTGTAAACGCCATTCTTAGTGGCGGAGGATGTTCTAATGGGCGAAGCAATAGTACTAGTAGTAACTGTAGCACCGGAAGCAATGGAAGTAATGGGTCCAATGGTTTCGGATTCGGTGGAAAAATGGTGCCACACCAACAAAATATTTATGACACTGGTCAACAGCACAATCAACACCTGGCTTCCGCTGCTTTTTTGCGAATTACAGCGGCGGCCGCTGCAGCTTCCGCTTCGTCGCCATCTGGTAAGTTTAATTTTCCATCACCACAGTAATAAAAACTTTAATGGAGTACAATAGTTTTCAAACAGATAAATAAATATGACAACATATCGTTAAATATAAAATAAGTGGTTGCTATTTTTATAGCGACCACTTATTCAGCGATTCAGCGAAAAATGATAATAGTAAAAGTTGTGCGTAACGAATTCGTCGGTAATAAAACATATTACATTTTGGTATTGAATAAATAATATAGTTGTAATTTATAATTAATAATATTGATATAGGTAAGTAAAGTGAAAAATTTACTACACTGGGAAGGCATAAAATAAAAATAAAAAAGTTAAAAATATAAATATCTTTATTTTGGATATTCTTGTAGTAGATAGTCGACAACGTAATACATATCATTATATAATATAGTTTAATTTTCACATTTAAACAGCTTTTTATTTTAAACAATATAAAAATATGAATGCTTAGTATTATAAATAGGGTCTGTACGTGCAATGATATTGAAGTATATTATTATTATGATGATAATGGGTGGGACTGTGTTCGATCTTCTTTTTTTTTTCTTTTGCTATAACTTTCATTTTTTCTTATTCCCAAACGGGTGGAAAGGTGGCATGTTCTCAAATTTATAGCATTAGCCGTTTAGTGCTGTCATTCACAGCCCTTTTCGCACATTTATCTCACTCTATACATAATAATAAAAAAAAACTTATCACAACAACTGTAACAATCATTATTATTATTATTGTAACACAGTTATTCACAGTTATATTTACGTACGAATTAAATGCAAAATCTTTATTTGAAAAACTAACCAATAATATTAATTTATTAGTTAAATATCACAATAAAAAATTATAATTTTCTTAGTTCAAGAGTCTTACATTTATAATGTATACCTACGTCATTTTTATTTATTACGATTTTTTGTCAATGACATGGATATATAATAAGATATGCTATAATAGTAAACACTGCACATCTAGCTATTAACACTATTAACACTAAACACTAAACACTTCTCTGTTTACTTTTATGTACATCGTTACATTCGTACTATTGTGTGCAATGTAAAATCGATTATTTCACTTGAAACATTTGCAACATAATATAAACACAGCTGAAATAACGCTATTGTAGCTCTTTAGTACCTACAAATAGTAACATAAAACTACTTATACAAAATGTTTCAACTACGGTTTAGCTGACTATATTGTATAATATATATATATGTGTGTGTGCTGTTCGTCAATCGATCTTTGTATAGAGTTACACTGCATGAACGACGCGAAACACCGCGATTATTATAAAGTAAACACTAGAAAAACGAAATATGATTCGCTGACATTTCTATTTATGCCATAGGTCTATTATACTAGTAAGTGTGTGTATTTAATGTTAAGGTACACAATATATTCTTATGTACTACATATTTATTTGAGTAAAAAATTGAATAATAATTTAAATAATATATACCTACCTAAATAGGTACTATACGTAGTATATTAGCATAAAATATTACATGCAAATCATGGATTCAATTTACTTGGAAAAATACACATTATAATACGTAGATATACATTGTAATCATTATATAAAGTGTATAAGTTATTTATATGTGTACCTATACTAACGTAAGAATATGTTATTGTAAATGGTGCAAGTTCATTAAAACTAATAATTGAATAATCATTAAATTTAATTACCTTAAAATTATGATTTGTATTTATGCTGAATTCAGTTAATTATTAATTAATAATAGCGGTATTTAGAGGGAAACACATCTTTATTTATTTTATCATTTGTACCTGTATCGCATGGAGGCATATAATACATTATACAATATGCATATCATATATTAACATTAAACATAGCAGTGCTCAAACATTCAAGCTCAGTGTTGACTTGCTTATAACAACATAATATTAAAAATCGAAAAAGTCGCATTCTGATAAATAATACTAAGTTATCATCGAGTAGGGTGTTTAAATTTTAATTTTACGATAATTGCGTAATTGATTCTAAGCGAAGGATACTGCGAGTAGTCTAGCATTTTATTCTAAGGATAGTAATTAATTTGCAGCTGCCTATTTACTGAGTGATAAGGAAATGAATTCCTTGACTTACATTTTGTAACTACCAATTGTTTGAAATAACATTATACTTATAAGTTATAATACGTTATTTTATTAATTTTCTAATATTAATTAAAACTAAATAGGCTGGACTTGTTATCATGCCATCGCCTGCAAGAAGAAATCAGTATATATAGATAGTTAGGACCATTGAAGTACTTTATCTTAAAAAAATAAAATTATATCATAATATAATTAACAAATGTGATACACACAATTGAATTATAGTTAATTATAATTTGTATTAATACATAAACCAAAAAAAAATTTACAAAAAAGTTTACATTTTCTACAAATAAATCGAAAAAAAAACAAATTAAAAAAATTTAATAACGTCTAGCAAATGTTAATTTGAATATTTGGTTGAAATCTCCGCGTTTATTCATTAATTTTAAATTACAATAAAAAACAAAAAAAATTAATTTTGTCAAAAACTAGTATTTGTATACGGAATATATATTTCCGCTTTATTCCCGCTGTTTTTGTCAATCATAATAATAATTAAAAAATTTTTTTTATCAAAACCACTTTCAAAGCAAAAGATTGAAGAGCATTTTATTCTCAAAATAAAAAACAAAAATCAATCCTATGCGTATCATGTTTTGATTATTCATATAACATATTTCTTTTTTACACCAGTAAAATATCGCTCTATTCAGAATTTAAAATGAAAATATATCCACGGGGTTACCATTAAATATTTTCAATATAAGGTTTGACGTGTATAGTGATGTAATGTTTATTTCCTGGAAATTTCTGTATTATCGAATGTCATGGATCAAGTACAAAATACATATACATAATATAAAAAGGTAGGAATAAACTATATACTCATATATCAAGTATAACAGTCACAAATAATATTCTCCTATTTCATTTTGATAGTATAAGACAATTGACTTTAATATTGACCATTTACAAATATTTTATTTGCTATATTGTACGTCCTATACTACACATTGGATGAAACTAACCCTGTAAAATTACTTTACACTATTAAATAATTAGAGATTTACAGAGATTAAATGGGTTTATATATTTAGGTACGTGATTCAATTTAATTATATATAGGTAGGTGCACATTATTTGTACAATTTAAAAAGTGAAAACTTAAAAAAAGTTTTACAAAGTATACAAAACTCTCTTTGTATCTTTGATAAGTAATTAAGTACATAATATTGTAATAAAATTCGTTTAAAATATGGTAATCAATCGCCGAAATTGCCTATCTGTTAATATACGAGTACTTATAATTAATTATTTGCTTATAAAATAGTATGATATTTAACCATTGATAATATAAGAAAATTTCAAAATCTCAAAGAGCTGTAATACATTTTAAAATTTAGAGGTTTATATTTTGGCCTGCAGGCGAGTTGTGCACTAAATACTGAATTGTATATTGGTTTTTTTTAGGTTTCATGAATATCTCTTAATTTTTTCAGGTTACGTGAATTTCGTAAATATAACTTATATTTAAAACTTAATAAAACAGTTGGACACAACTCGTGTGCTGACATTTTAGTCGGGACATAACTCTTTAACTAAGATATTTTGATTGTTTTGATATTTTATTCATCATTACAGTATTTACATAATATTCCATTATAAGCAATAATTATTTTGCATGAGAACAATTTACTCAATTATTATAATGACTGAATTTGATTTCCTTTAATATTTATAACTATTTTTGTTTTGATATTATGTTCTTAATCGATATTATTAAGTAGACATTAAATATATAATTGTTTATAAATTGTAATGTTTATTACTATTTTCTCCTAAACAGATGATCGTATTGAAATACCATGTAGGTACCTACATAACATGGGTATTTTAACGAATGTAAGTTTATCGAAATTTATCAATTTTAGATTAGGCTTAGATTTATTTGATATTTTAAATCTTTAATTATCGGTTATTGATTGCTTTTTGTTTAATACTGTTCATATTTTCCTCATTAAAAAAACGTCAAATATGTTCATAAAAAACTAGAGTAATCCATTTTAATTTCACTGTAAAAATCGACAACTCAGTTCTGTTATTACGACTATCGGAAGTTAATACTGCGTAATATTGTGTTCGGACAATTTTGTTAGCTGTAAAACAAGATAATATAAATAGGACTGCCGAAGAAAACTTATAATAGATACATAAATGATAAAACGTAATAATAGCCAACAAACCAATCCCCCCCCCCAAACACGCATAAGCAATTTAGTTACGTTTTTATTTAGTTTTACATATTTTTCATAACATTTACAAAATACATATTCCTTAAGTACCTACATAATTTTGTTCTGTGATCTAACCCACATTTTAGTTTATTCGATAAAATCCTATAGATAATACTCCATGGAAAAGTCTCAACAGTTTTTCTTTTGATGGTAAATTCCAGATTTCCTAGCAGAAAACTGTGCGCGTTACAGGGAATTGATTTGTTGTTTAAGTCTTGTTTCGCTTTTATGCGCTTTACATTTTGAGTTTTTTTGAACGGCCTTACTTATATTATTTTGCAGTCTTCGCTATATCACTATATTATGATGTAGAAATAATACACACTGCGTTGTCACATGTCGCAATAAAAAAATAGAATATACCGGAAAATCGTGCATAAGTAGACACGATAATCTATAACAGTACAGTTTACCCGATCAGTGTAGGTATAATGGTACCCGATCAGTATGCACAATATAATTTATTTACAAATTAGTACTTATTATCAGCGTAGAAATAGTATTTCCATATTATAATATCAAAATCATCCGACAACGACACTGACCCAGAATCAGTGGCACCGAATCATATAAATTTAAGTAAAGTAAAATAAAAATATTCACACACACACTCACCCACCACTGAGGATAATGTTGTCTACCTCTAATAACTAAAAACTTTAGTTATTTATTTAATTATTTAGTTTAAGAGTATATTGTGTAATGTAAAAACAAAAACACATATACAAATAAAATCACACACCCTCTTTATTATACAGTACCTAGTTAACACGAACTCGGTTAACACAAATAATTGGATAACACGAACCTATTTTTCAGTCCCGAAAAATACATATACTTTAAGAGAGGTTTATCTTTATTTTCTCGGTTTACGCGAATTTTTTGATTAACACGAAACTCGAACAAAATTTACAAACCATAATGTCATTTTTTGATTAGCACGAACAGAAAAATTCCATTTTCTATTTTTATTTTATTACTCGTATATCATTTAATCTTTATTACAGCTATATTATGTAAGTAGTTTTATCGTTGCCTTATCTTATCCCTCTTATTACCTACGTATTATAAACATCATATTTGTGCAATCTGGTTTGGTACAAATCGCTCTCGTTCAAATCAATTTTTCTATCGATCAGTTTTAAATTGATTTTGTTAGTTATTTTTTTTTTAAATTTAAATGCAATGTACAATAATAATTTTAATATATTTCTTGTTTGCACGATACAATTTAGTATGTATTTAATATTTACGTGTAATTAATAATTTAAATAGATAAAAGTAATAAAATAAAATAAAATAAAAAATGTAAAATATATATGAATGATTGGAAAGTGTGTTTCTGAATTTATGTTTCTACAATTTAACGAAATCTTATGTTTATATATTTTCTTATTGTAATTTTTTTCGTTACTACAGTATGAACTAATTTTATTAATATTAGTGTTGGATTATTAAACCGTACGAAAAATAATGTAATAATTTGTACTATTATATTATTGTACATTATATAAGTACTATTGTACTTTAATAGGCGTACCTATTTGATTTAAACTACTCTGATAACTCGAATTCGTTCGTGTAAGTATAAATCGTTTAACGCTAAACGCATACAAATTCGTGTTAAACGTATCGGTTTACACGAATTTTTTTAATACGAACCGGTCATTTTGCGGTCCCGTCGAGTTCGTGTAAACGAGGGAGTACTGTACATGGAACGATCCGTTGATCGTTCTGGGCCAGAACTACTGTCTATACTTGAAATCGTGCTTTGAATACGTATAAGTATATTCAGAGCCGGCGCGAGCTATTTTGCCGCCCTGGGCTAAATTATAAATGCCGCCCTATTAAAACTAAATAAATAAAAAAATTAAACGATCATATTATGATACAAATTATGCAATAATATTGATTTATCTAAAAACATTTATTTTCATAGTCATAATATTTTCGTCGTAAACATAAAATTAAAATATAAAATGGTCTTCACATAACACACAGCTGATATAAATAAACTAATAATATCAACACAATTATTATAAAATCGCAAAAGTTTTAGCTGAAATGCCGCCCATGGGTATTTAGACGAAAATTGCCGCCCTCAGCTTTCGCCCAGGTCGCCCCTGCCTTCCGCCGGCCCCGAGCATATTCGAGTGCATATATTTTTTTTATCAAACGGTATGTCATCGTTGCGATTTTCGCAGGTTCCATGTTTTACCATCACCATCATCTCGCTTCAGTCGCTGCACTTCACCATCACCAGCAGCAACGACAACAACAGCAATTACACCAAAACCGAGTACACCCGGCGACCTGCGGCAGTCCGTCGCCGACGCCTCCGCCGTCTTGTCTGCCGGCTGTCGCATCGAACACGCCGCCGTCCACTTGTACCTTCTTGACGGACGCCACCAGCACGCTGACCACGGCACCGCAACCGGCGCAACCTCTCCGGACCATCGCCAAGCCGATCGCGCGCAGGCCCGCCAACGCCGCGCACCCGAACGCGGGCTCCAACGGCAGTGTCCACAACTCGGCATTGCTGCCGCTGGCCGCCGCCGCGAATTTGGCGTCCAACGGTCCGTCGAGCGGCAGCGGCGGCGGCGGCGGCGGCGGTGGTGGCGGTCTGGCGAATAACGCCAATGACAGTGCTGGTGGCGGAGGCGGCGGCGGTGGCGGCGCAAATGTCTGCAACTCAACCGCACTGTCGAATACGTCCATTTCGTCTTCCTCTACTGCCGGTAATTACAGCACATTATCATAATTATTTCTTATGTAGAGATTAATTATTATAATACATTGTGTTCAACATTTCAACGTATAATCACTTGCTATATTATAACATAACAGTATAATAATAATAATATAATACAGTCGTATCCATTATGCTGTATGTGTATATCATAATATTGTAATATATATATATATGTGTGTAAGCTACTGCTGGGCCCACAACGTCAGACCGTACGAAATGATTAATTGCGCTTGAATTTCGTTTAAAGTAATTTGTAATCTTTACCGTTAATGATGTATAGTGAATCATATAAAGCTGCACAGCGACGATGGCGGCATATAGGCATTTATATAGTAGGTAGTATAGAGTTTATACATATATATTATATATATATATAACAGAAAGTTTGTTGTTTCTGTTAGTATAGTTTGTTAGTATAACTTTACAGAAAAAAAAAAAATAAATAAATAAATAAAATAAAAAACTAATAATAATAATATAATTTCCCGTTGACCCGGAAAAATGTTTTTCTCAAATGGGTTGATCCTTTCGGAGGTGCCAAAAAACATGCCTCGTATAATAATCATTAATTATAAAATAAAATCGAGAGAGTTAGCCGCGGCGGTGAACGCGGATGTTGCACGGTTGCTAACAATAATAATTTCTCTCAAAAATTATTATACCACCTACACCCTATTGTATTTACGGCCACGATATACATATTATTATATAAATATATATATATATAGGTACCTATTATTTCATTACTTATATCGTTGATATAAAGTTTGAACACAGTAAATCAAAAGCAGACTAGCAATATGCGATCTACGCGGAAATGTTTTTGACGAATGATACCACGCGTTAAAATAGATCGTTAAACGCATTCGCGTACGTCGTAAACACAAGCTCGTATACAGTCGCGTCTACAGCGACTGGTCGACACGTGCCGTCGACCTCCGTTCGACTGAAATGTCATCGGCAGCACATGCATCACAACGATGTATACATATAAGCACCAACTAACAACAATTATTATTCGTATAATCATATAATATTATATATATATATATATATATTTTATTATGACATTGCATTTTAAACGACCATAATCGTTGGTCTAATCGCCGTGTATTATTTATTATTTCATATTTGTTCTGTTTATGTATAAATAAATAAATATATATATACATATATACATGCATACGAATACGATTTACCTATTATAAAAGAAAAACAAATAAATAAAATAATCAATAAAATTATAACGAGAACCCGGGAGTTGTATAAGAGAGTATAATAAATATAGAGACGAATTTGAGAAGAATGGAAAAATAAAGAAAATAATATAGAATGCGCGAACAAGAGAAATAACCGACTTCACCCCGTCCCGGCGCAGTGTAATCGAGTGCTGTGATTCCGACCACTCCTCTCCGCTCCGACATCACTGTTGTTCTAATACACCTCCCCAGTACCGCCAGCAAACTCATTCGCCGCCGCCAACCCCTGGGCGAACCTGTCAAACGCACGCGCTACACACTACCCTCAGCACTACCCTTGTTTTCCCATCTCTCTTTTCCACTCACTTATTATAATATATTTAATAATCCAATGCAGCCGCAAAAAAGGGACCCTTCCGTCGTATTCTTCTTACTATTGAAGTCAGTTGCACACACTGCCCACCGATTAGTGTTGTTGTCGTTATTAGCGTCTGTTGCACCGGATTGCATTTCTGTTTTTTTTTTTCATACATATATAATATAGTATATGTATTTCATCGACCCTTTCTTTATACAATAATAAAAAATAATAATAATAAATAATTAAAAATCATCTACTATATAACACAGGCGATAGCCATGTAACATTTTGCGGCCCGGCACATAATATCATAGATCCGTGACTAAAATGCGTATAATACTTGAATTATTTTAAGGATAAAAATTATTATTATTATTATTATTATTGCAACACGTGCTGTTGGCGGAGCGAATATTGTCGCCCTGCTCTTTGCTGCAATGTGGCGTCGACGTAACGCAGTAATAATCATAATAAGATGAGAAGGTAACAGCTGTAGCTGCTTATATTATTATTAACACCGTCACTGTGGTTATTTATTATTATTTATTTATACACTGAATAGTTGGGTTAAACAATAGTAATACTTCGGAAAATGAAGCTTTGCAGACTTGCAGTTTATTCGCTCTCTCAGGCTGCTCGTCAACATACTTTAAAAAAGGAAAACGTTATGTCTCGTGTACATATTGATAAATCCTATAAAAAAAAAAAAAAAAAATGAATAAAATGTGTTATCTCTTCATATAATACTGTTGTTGAACTACTTACAATAACCTAATTAAATGCTCCTTATCAGATAATTGGATTGTAATAGGCACTTGGATTTTTTTTTAACTCTTTAAATCGTATTTAATATACACAAAATAAATTCATAAAACCAATTATAACTTCTGCCATAAAAAATAACAGCTGTTGATTTGATTAACTTTATAATAACAAATTTATTTTTTATGATGCTAATATAAAATGTAGATATGAATTCATATTTTTAGTTTCTTACTTTAAAAATACATTAGACCTTAAATTGTGTTATTGTTTTTTATTAAGTTAATAATTACAACTTTGCTAATTAAATTAATAATTTTGGTTTTTGGGAAATATATTAAATAATCGTTTATAACGACACGTTAATATCATACTGGTTATAAGTATTTTCTTTTTTTACAAATATGTTTAGGTACAGGACGACCTAATGGCTCTGGAACAAACAGATTCCCTATAGTACACCCTCAGTACAATTATCGTCATCATTTAGCTCATCAACATCCTCATACTCATCATGAAATCCTCATGATGCAATCTCGATCAAATGGAGTCTCTAGCTCCAATAACGGAACTTCTAACTCTATGGCTGCTGTTCCTCCGTCGCCTTTTTCATCTTCTACCACGTGGCCTTATAGTGCGGGACCCAGTGCAAACGGAGGAGGATCTGTACATATAACCGGAACAAATGCACATCATCATAGAATTACGCCATTACATCATCATCAGCATCACCCGTCAGCAACAACCATGCTATTAATGAGCACCAACAACAACACTTTGAACGTGATGAACGGAGTAGTGGTCGGTGGAAATAACAGGGGAAAACCACGGAGAGGCATGATGCGACGGGCCGTGTTCTCTGATGCGCAACGAAAGGGCTTGGAACGTCGGTTTCAGGTGCAAAAGTACATCAGCAAACCGGATAGAAAGCGATTGGCCGACAAGTTATCGTTAAAAGATTCACAGGTAATATAAAATAAACATTTATACGTTTTATTTATTTTCTATAAAACAGTTAGTAATATTTTATTTAGTACCTATGTATAATACTATAATATTATTCAACTAAACATTTATTTTTGGCAAAGTGAAGATTTCTTGTCAGAAATCTATGTATTGCTTCAGTCATTAAATTTTTTAACTATGAATATGTGTTTATTTTTCCTTGAGAATAATTTAATTATTAAAGCATCAAAGAAAATATTTTACTCAATTATTATTAGTCTGTGCGTGCACAAATATTATTAATTATAATATAATATAAGTAAAGAGTCGAATTGACCAATCATTGTCATAATTGTTGTGGTCAGTAGGTATTTTGTTAAATTTAAACTATTTAATGGTTAAACTTGACATTTATAATATACGAGTAGTCATATAGGTACTTTTATATGAGTACAAACGTTTGCGTTCTAGCTCTATAGATTTATAAAATGTTCTATAGTAATAACTAATAATTCTTGTTCTGTGAAAAAATTATTGTTATTTTAACGCAGTGTCGTGGTACACCGTATATGGTTTTCATAAATTTTCGTATAGTAATTTCACTATTTTAGAAAATAATTATTGACTCTATAACTGTGTACAAATATTCAAAAGTTAATACAAAGTCTAGAAAGTTAAATGGATGTAAGTTAAGTGGAAGTTTAAAGGATATGATAAATATTAAATTACCTATGACATAGTTATCTTAGAAAAAATGTATTACATATAAACGAAACATGATGAGTACTCCTATGTCGTATTATACCGTATTAAGTTCTAAATAAACTTTATTTAAATTAGTATATTTCTTTTACGGTGAAAATTACCTTATTCCTAAAATAGCATTTATTTACATCTTTATTCGTGTATTCATATGGATAACTAATGAATATAATATATTATAAAATAAACATACTAAGAAAAAAAAATGAGAGATAAATAATAATCTGTTAAAAATAATAATGACACTAATGATATCGATAATAAATAATAATAAGAATAATAATAATAATGAAAACAAGTATGAATGAAAAGTCGGTTTATAAATTCAGATCAATTCGATGGCGTTTGTAATTGCATTGGTAAATGGTAATGTTCTTCTAATTGCTGTTTTATTATCTTATTGAACAGTATTTTATAATGTGAGAAATAGTTTGAACGTCCTTTATTATAATTTATTCAACACGCAAATTTTGTAGTCTAAAATTTTCGATAAGTTAAAATTCTTTTCATATCTTTTAACTTGAGTTACCTACTCAAGCATTATCTGTATATCTAAATTAGTGTAAGTATATGCTTATGTACTTACAAAATGATGATGATCAACATTGAAAAAAATAAAATTATGCTTGCGAACATTGTCTATAGCCACAAGCAAATGCAAATTACTGTATAACAAAAAATATAATTGTATTAGTTTGTATAAAAATATAGACGATTTATATGAACAGAAAAACAATTTAAGTAATATAATGCTAGAGTTGTGTGATTTATATTGTAAACAATTTTATTGTAATATTGGATGTAACAAATTATCGAAAATTCAATGCTCGACTTGGGGAGGACGCAGGGTGATGGAGTACCCCAACTAATTTTTCAGAAATTTTAGCGTACCTCTATACTTATATTTTTAAGGGGAACATACGGGACGCTGCATCATTCTGCAATTTTATCAAAATGCACATGTTAACATCATAATTTTTCTCACCATAGATAATTATCTTTAATCATATTTCATAACTTACAGACCGTGATAACTTATATAATATATTATCAGTTACCACTGTTATCATTATTTACTAATTTTTAATATCAATTATCATATAGATTTAAAGATTATTATTTTTAAATTTAATTTTATAAGTCTAAACTGTCTTATTTTCTACTACTTGAATAGTACCTTAATTAATTGATATTTGTTATCTTATGTTATGTAAAAATATACAACTGTTTTTGTGTTGATACGATGGTTGAAAAAAAGAAATCACAAAGTGATATATTTTCATTTTTAAAAAACAGATGAAACAAGTAGTCAATAGTACTCAGATCCTCAGTAACTTATTAAAATTTTATATTTAGTGTTACTTTTAAGTTTGTTGTTACATTTTATAAGGTATAACTGTAATATACAATATAGTATTTACAGTAATTTTTTTTAAATTGATAATTAATAAATATTTTTATGTTTTAAAAAGCGTATTAGGGGGTGTGAGGGCGTAGTCCCCACAGTTCAATAACATTTAAAAAGTGATGGGGACGCTCTTTATTTTAAAGTTAACAGAGTCCCTCTACTTAAATTTTGCCAAGTCGAGCACTACGAAAACTAATTATTAAATTAAACGACACTAAAAGATACGCCCTATATTTTCACAAGGCTAAATTATGTTTATCTTACTTAAACAAATACTTTAAAAACAGACCCATCACTAGTATACTTACGGCGACTATAAGTATAACTATTATGACTTTGGAATGAAACGATTAAGTATTGATCTTACAGTTACAATTATAAAATTAATTTTAAGTTTGGAAATAAATCAAGAGATACTTTTTGATTGTGATAATATTATTTATATTAGATGACAATTAATATTTAATAGATTTAGGCACACACTATAAGTCTTTTTTAAAAAAATATGTAGGTGCCAGTTGATACTTATTGTGCTTTTAAAACGAACAATGTGTTAAAATAAATAGCGTATTTGAAACTTGTTCAATACATTGATAACAACAACAAATCCTAATATCCTATATCTTTTTTGGATAAGTTATACATACACACTATTATAGAACTCCACGTATGCACATAATGTAAATCATTGAGTAGTGATGAGAGGAGGGAGGGAGTAAACATTTACAAAACAAGATGGGTTTTAATCCCACTCAAAATTGTTTTCGAGAGTTTGTAACGAATCCTACCTTTTTAAATTTTAAATATAAACAAAATTTAAAATTCAATAAAAGCAAATATATACAAATGAATATAAGTATTTACGGCGAATAAAATTGTGCCGTTTTTACCAACAACCGTCTTGGACGGTTTGGAACTTGATAGGTACTCATCGCATAGACGACAATATAATATACAAATATACGATATAATAAATTGTAAGTAAAGGTCACTTTAAAGTATAAATATTTATTTTATATTAGTCGGAGGATGGAAAATACAAAAATGCGCTGCATCATGTAACTTTTAAATAATGTTTTTATACTACGAACAGTCGGGGCGCGTGTAGGAAGTCAAGTTTCTCAATTGCTTAGATTGTTCATTGTTCAAACTCCCTAATAATTAGAAAATCAATAATGCGCTTGTATAACATAAGTCAATACCTATAAAACATATTATGGTAAAATATACACGATTATTGTAAATCGTTTAATGACGTGAGCTGAGTACATCAATGTCGTCTATATAAACTATGAAAAAGTATACCCACTTATCTTATAAACTGTAATCATATTTCATTTTACTTAACTATTGTTATAGTTGCATAAACCTTGAGCTAAGACTAAAGATTAAAATTAAGATTAATTAATCTCAGTGCATGATATACGAGTACGGAGGTCGGAGTGATACATTTAATGTAAAGCACTAATATTTTTGAAAATTTTTCTTTTGCATAATTTTAATTCATTAAAAAACAAAATTTTCACTTTTTTTTATAGTTTAATTTCTTGAGTTTTGTTTTGTTTTGAATGACAACATACATGTTTTATTTCATTTTAATATAAGCAGAATATTATTCGGGATATTTTGGTCTATACAAATCAAATTTTGGACAAGTATAGTTTATTAGTTATAATACTTACAATGTTTAAGTATCTGAGTTAAAATGAACAAAGTAATGTGCCAACATATTACACTTGTATCCTTTGCAAAGAATATGGGTAATTCTTATATCATATTACTATACTCCGCTCATCAAAACGTTTATATAATACTCGTAATTCATAAGCTACTCGCGCGTCCAAAATTTGATTTTTATACATGGAAGTAATATGCTTTGGAATAAGGAATTATAAATGCATATTTTCGTTAAAAAAGTAAGACAATTAAAAAATGATGATGGTAGAAAATAGTGGAAAATATATTTTTCTAGAAAAACGTTGTTTTTTTAAGATTTAAAATTGTGTAAAGAATATATTTTTCAAAACGGTAAACGGATTACCTCCGGTATAATAAAGATTGACCGCCGATAATATCATTAAGTTACTTGGATTTGAATTTAATTTAGTTTCATTATATAATATTGGGACAGTGATCATATAATATTGTCTACGTGTGTGATGGGACATTCAAGTTTGAAATTGTTATAAGGTTGATTTCGTTATTTTCTCATAAACGATATGAATCCTCGGGCGGTGGGTGAGGGACGGAGGGTTCGGGCGTAAATTTCCTGGCTGAAAATGTATTTCGTTCTGTGTACAGGTAAAGATATGGTTCCAAAACCGTCGGATGAAGTGGCGCAACACCAAGGAACGGGAACTGCTGGCGGCCGGCACGGGTTGTCGCGAACAGACTTTGCCGACGAAAAACAACCCCAACCCGGACCTGAGCGACGTGACTACGACGTCCACGGCGACGTCCAACAGCGGCTCGTTGCCGGCTTCGTCGACGGTCACCGCGACAACGCCGACCGCGGGATCCGGAGGAGCGACAACTTCGGCGACACCGGCATCGGTAGCCGGCCAACAGGACAAAAAAAATGCCAACGGTACGAAAAATCACCATCAGCATCCACATCACCATCAGCAGCAGCAGCAGCAGCATCATTCGGTCCAACAGAAACAGATACCTCAGAAGAAGATCAACGTGGCTGTGGATCAGATGCTGTTGAACAGGGGCGGCAGCGGTGGTGCAGGCGGGCCACTAGTAGTCAGGCAACAGCAAGTGTTGTAGTGAAATAACGATAACGATAATAATGATAAATACTAATAATAAAAATAATATTAAAAATACAGTAATTATAATTATAAAATATAAAATAATCGTAATATATGATACGTATGTATTATACATATAATATATATAATAACAGTGATATACTGGTTTATTATATATACATTGATATTGTTGTATTACTTTATACATTAATATATTATAATGTACATGCATGTATAAACCACTTTATTATAATAATTTATTATATACCTATATACACACCTAATGCATTAATAATAATAATAATAATAATAATAATATACGTGCTATGACTAATAAAAATTTCCCATACCGAAATCGTTGTTTGACCGCTTTTTTTTTTTTTAGTGTCGTTTTCCGATATTCTGACAGACTGCAGCTGTAAATAATAATATGATACGTCAAAACGTACAGCAGCGATGATGGTCGTATCGTGTGTATATTATACGACGAGTACGCATTATATAATATATGTAATGAACACAATGGGAAAAATCAATTATCGCATAGATTTTCCGTATAATAGAGTACTGCTATTATGAATTTTTATTTTTACCGTCATTATTATTACATCCGTATACCATTTTTTTGCCCTTTAAATTTCCGCACAATCAAAGGACCGCACGTTTTGTATATAGTACAATTATGTGTATATATTGTTAAGGTACTATTGAATGGTGAAAAATGCGAACACAACATTTAGAAAAGTGAATTAAGGGGCGGAAAAAAATAACCAATAATAAAACATAATATTTTATATAGTTGTTGGCGAATAATACCCGTTGAGTCGGTTGACAAACGAACGTTAACGCGGGAGGGAGCGAAAAAAAAACTCGTCTCCTACTCTCCTCCACCGAGAAAACATAAAATAGAGGTAAAATTTTTTCCGACAACCTTTCCCATCGTCCCCGCTGGGACATAACACACACACATACACACACACATATATATATATATTAAATAATTTAGCCCCCGTACTTCTGTTTTTGTCATATTATTGTATAATATATATATATTATGTGAGTGTGTGTGTGTGTAAGCACAGGTATACTCCGTAGAAAATGAGAAAAAGAGAACGGATAGGGAATTGATGCCAGCATAAGAGCCACGCAGAGCTAATAATAATAATAATAATAATAATTCACGAACATAATCGGCTGTCGTCGTTTTCTCGTTTTTCCGCTTTACGCGACGTCCGCCCCAAAAGCTCGTCATTAAGTTAGGGGTATATATATATATATATATATATATATATATATACTTATTCGTCGCATTGAACGCGGCGTGGTGTGGCGCGGGCGCAGTGCTCATTTATTTTTCCGATTCCGAAGCTGACGTTTTCATCTCGACAGGAAACCGTATACGGAACGAATGAAACGCCACGTCGACTTCGGAGATCGTGAAAGCAGAAACATGCTGCATGAAAACGGTACACGGCAAAACATAACATGATATTAATATTATTGTTATTATTATTGTTATTATTATTATTATTATTATTATTACACGATAATACGATATTATTATGTTATTAAATAATGTATAATACGAGTATGTGACTGTATAGCGTTGCGCGTATTATATTATAGTAGAAATGTTTTGTGTCAAATGTCGCGGGGACGGTGTTTTTATGGAAGCAGGGACCTTTTCTGTAACATTTTACATTATAATAGCCATAGTCACAGTGTATATTATTATTTATACGTGACTTGTGCCAACAATGCTATAATATATTATTATTATTATTATTATTTTATGTTTGTTTACCTGTATACTCTTATATTACAATAAAAATGCCATGACTGAATTACTCGATTTAGCTGGCCGGAGAGAAGGGGTGTATAACGTTAACGGACTGCAAAATGATATATTTAAAAGGAGACTTTCTTGTCGTGACAACTAAATTAAATAATCATATAACTGTGTTTTTTTCTTTTGTACGACCGATATCAATCAGTAGGACTGCAAAAGTACACGAAACAATAATTAATTTTTGTATTTTAAGTACAAAATGACATGCGTTGAATTTTGAGACAAAAAGTAGCGAAAATAATTAATCTCGTATTATCCTCTATAATATACATCAATATAACCGGTTAGCGAGAAAAATTTTTTTAAATCTGTTCAGTTGTTTCAAAGATTAGCCCGAACACTGCACCAGGAACACACCAATTTTGTTTATTTTAATGGATTATGCAATAAACACATTATTATAACATACATTTTGTAACATTTGCAAGTTATATATATATATTGTATACTTTATACAATGTATACAAATATCATATTATATTAAATTATAATATATATATATAAAAAAATATCTCAAAATAAGTATATTATATAGTATATGCGTGGCAATATATAAAGTATAATGTTTACTATAATATATTAATACGTAGGTTGTAGAAGAGGAAAACGATGGAGAGAATAAGTCGAATAAAGGACAGGTAAAGAAAAATCTGGAAAGCGACGGAAGAAGAGAAATAATAATGGCGGCAGTAACGCAAAAAAGAGAGAAATAAAAGTTCTAACTGCGCGATAATAATAGTGAGTAGGTACATATATTAAATATATTATATATATACGCGCTTTGTGTGACGACGGGGCGGTATTTTAGGGTAGATAGGGTGGTTTCCGGGTAAAGGGAAGTATAAATATTAAATATAAACGGATGATGGTATGAAGCGGGACGAAAAAACCAACGATTATGATTATTAGCCCTGTGAGTTATGGGGTGTGTGTTATAGAAGAGGCGGATAGAAAAAGCAAGGAGAACACGTCAAAAACATAAGGAGAGGGGTCTATTTCAAAGGTATATATATATATATTATAATATGTACGCAAAACAACGACAATATTGTTGCTGGCGCTTTGCCGATGAAGGTTTATTATTTTTTTTATTATTATTATTATTGTCATTATAAATTATAATACTCCATTATATGCCATACGTATTTAAATTTTCATAAAGGCTTAATATTATAATAATAAAAAAAAGTTGTTGGAATATAATACTAAAATTAAATCGAACATAATTTGAAGTTAATCGACAATCAGCGTTACTTATGTCTTATACTGATAAAATAAAATAAAATAACTTTAAAAAATATAATAGGTAAGTACTTGTTTTCATGAAATATGTTCAACTCGTTCAATAATTTAAAAAAAAATTATGTTACGATTATATCTAAACAGTTATATATACGCAATAATTTATGACTAAAAATATATACCTTTAGTCCTTTATTAATATTGCAGATTAGATAAATGATAAATTGCAACTTTAATAACTTTATGATAGTAAATTACCTAGGAATATGCGTAAAGGAGTAGAGCAACTTATCGACAATAATTAATTCGAGTTAAGTTAATGATCATAAGATCGTTAAGAGTCAAGTTAGAATAGTTTAACTTAATAAATTTAACTCGTTAAGTTTTAAGTTGATCATAGAAAAAAAATAATAACTTGACTAAGTTCAAACAAAGTTAATCAATTGTTTTAATTAGTTCATAGATCATATAAAGAATATTTTGTGACTATCCGTATATAACATTTTTTGTTTAAATATATCAGTAATTATAGTATTAAATTATTTTTTATATTTAAAACCGTATAAGTATACAGTAATTATAACAATATAGCGCATAAAACCAATAACACTAACAATTTCAAAAACATTTTTAATTTTATAACTTGATAAATTATTTTTAAATTAACTTAAAAGCCCAAATTATTTCAACAGTCAATTAAGCTTGTTAAGTTCTCAAATTAATTGAAAATGGACTATTTTAATAAATAGTTAAATAAAAACAATTTTTAGCTAATTAATGCTCACTTTTTCCGTTATTGAATGTACCTATAGTCTTTATAATATTTAATTAATATTTCATATTTTTTCATATACACGTATTTATAAATACCTACTTAACTCATTTTCACGTATACTATGAAAAACATATATTTAATATTATATACTTTTTTATTTGTAAATAACATCACATTTTTTTTAGAGTCTGCAGAGCAGAGCGATTAATACATTGGTTTTACAATAAATTGTGTTTATGTGCAGGTAAGTCTGTCGACCTGTCGTAGTCTTTTAGAGCTGTAAAAATACTTCAATCTTCAACTTAGAAGTTTTTTGTAGCAAATTGGATCTATAGTTGCAAAAGTAAAAAGTCCCTAGTACTTATCTATCAAAATAATCGAATGAAACTAAAAAAAAATTACGAAAAATTGGGAATATTGTATGCAATTATGCAACATCAGTTTTCGATAAAATTGGTTTTATATTTTCGTTGTAATTCATAAATAAAATTATTAAATATAGGTATAAAAGGTTAATATGTGGTTCATAGGTTCAACAAGAAAAATGAACTATATTTTTAATTTTAAAAGCGTTGTATTTAACATATAGCAATTATGATGGAAGATAATAATATCGGATTCCACATTAATTAACAAGTTAACTTATAGTTTTATACAAAATATTAATAGATTTTTGAATCACAAGTAAAAAACATTAAAAAAAATACTAAGGAAATTATTTTGATATCTTCTATAATTGAAAAAGTATCAAAAATGAAATTTCCTTTTTTGCATAAACTTTTTATTAACCATAAATGAATAAAAGTTAAAAGAAAAGACATTTTCAAAGTGAAGTAGCAATGCATTGGTTTTAAATTAATGTTTTTTATTTTCATATGGGTATGTACAGAATCTCCTTTTACAAACAAAAATTCTTGGGATGAAATAAATTATTTATTATACTTAAAAGTCAATTTTGTAATATTTTTCTAATATCTTATCAAAAATGTAATCTCAATTTATAAGTGGTAATAGCAGTTGTAAGTAGTTAGGTATTTAGGTACATTTCTAACTGCAATCTATGATTAAATATATCTAATACATTAATAAATATTTGTATAACTGAGTGCTAAATTTTTTAACTATGATAAAATTATTTATATAGTGTATGCTTTGTTTTATTTATTCAATATTTTTAAAACCGTATTGTATTATTAAAATGGAT